TTGATCATCGGCGATTTCGGCAACGCTGAAGCGTTTCGCACAATCACGTCATCTTTCCCCACATCCGCATTGTCCATTTCTTCTGCTGCGGTGTACTACCTCTGTCCCATTTATATTGCTCCAAACTCGGCGCTCCAAATATGAACCCAACATTTCAAGAATGTATGGAACATTCATATATCATTTCAAAGAGGAAAGCATGAGCCATCCAATGAACGCAGCAGAGGAAGATAATTCCACCAATCAAAAGAGATACGAGACGAAAAGGGATGTATACTCAATCTCATACAAAACAGAAAAATCCGGATATAAAAACCTTTATCCGAATACAAGGAAATTAGCAAAAAAAGACAAAAACCCTCGTAACTCAGCCATTTTTGCTCCGTTTTCGCTCATTTTTAGCGCAAAATCACCGCGCTGCTACGACGCATCGTTTGCACCCTTCCGCGCGCGAAAATATTCAGTATTGAGCGAGAAGCGCGCGAAAAACCACTTTTCTTCTTGAAATGGCCGGCGAACGCAAGCCCAACCTATCAAACAATGACCGTCGAGCCATCATTCACAGCCTCTTACCACTCCTTATCAATGGCGAGCTTCCTCGTGGGGCCTTGGTCAAGGTCGCTGAGTTGTTTGGCGTTGCACGCAGTACTGTGAGACGAGTCTGGCTTCGGGCATCAGTTGGGAACGACAGCAAGCATCAGTACCTTGGTAACACGAATTCAAGGTTGAAGGGTAAGGCCGGTCGCAAGAAAGCACACCCCAACCTGGCGCAGCGACTCAAAGCAGTTCCCAAGATTCGTCGCACCACCTTCCGCTCCATTGCCTGTGCCCTCAACATCCCACGAGCTACTCTCCACCGCTATTACAAGGCTGGCGCTTTCGTCAAGTACTCAAGTGTTGTGAAACCCGCCCTCACCCAGGCAAACAAGGCAGCACGTCTGAAGTGGGCTCTCGACTCCGTCAAGTGCAATGGCTCCGGTGGCTTCTGTTTTGATGACATGATGAACGTTGTTCATGTCGACGAGAAGTGGTTCTTTGCGACACGTGTGAAGAAGACCTTCTACCTAGCTCCTGGCGAGAAGCCCCCGCATCGTACGGTCAAGTCCAAGAGATTCATCATGAAGGTCATGTTCCTCTCAGCGGTCGCCCGTCCACGGTGGGACCACGACCGCAATGAATGGTTCGACGGCAAGATAGGAACTTGGCACTTTTCCAAGTTGGTTCCTGCCCAGCGATCAAGCCGCAACAGACCCGCTGGGACGTTGGAGCTCACTTCAGTCAGTGTCACCAAGGAAGTGTACAAGAGGATGCTTATTGACCATGTCATTCCTGCCATCAAGTCCCGTTGGCCCTGTCAGTCGTCAAGAGAAGTGTACATTCAGCAAGACAACGCCCGTCCTCACGTGGCGCCTGTGGACAAGGACATTGTGCGTGAGTGTCAACGTGGCGGATGGAACATGAAGTTGATGTTTCAGCCGCCGAACTCACCGGACCTCAACGTTTTGGATCTGGGGTTCTTTCGTGCAATTCAGTCCCTCCAAGAGCAAAATGTTTCTCGTACGATGGCGGACATTGTTGCAAACACTGATCGGGCATGGGCGGAAGTCGACAGTGTGTCCCTGAACTCAAACTTCATGACGCTACAAGCTTGCATGCTGGAGGTAGTTCGCTGTGGTGGAGGCAACAACTACAAGATTCCCCACGCGAAAAAGGTGACCTTAGCGGCCAAGGGGCTTCTACTTGAAACTGTGAAGGTTGATCCTGACGTGATCAATGTGGGGATGGGTCTTCTAGGCGAGTGTGATTTGACCTCTATGGTACTCCAACTTGCCAGTGAAGTGGCCCTTAGTCTCGAAATGAGTGACTTCTGCTCTGAGCTCGAAGAGCTTGGTCTTCAAGGTGAAGATGACGAAGAGGACGATCTTGCACTCTCAAGTCTTCTCAACTTAAATTTAGACTAGGTTTTTGTATTGATTTCATCCAAATGTGAAGTGTTGCACTCTTGGAGCAAAAATTATGGAACTTCAAGAATTTTCTTTGGAGCAATATAAATGGGACAGAGGTAGTA